GACACCCACGGCGTGCAGATCGCGAACATGCATGTCGGCTTCGCCCACACCTACTTTGACAATCTGGACGCGAGCAGCTACATCGACATGGTTGCTCTGCCTGGGGCGCTCGTTCGTGCCCTGCGGAGTGCTGGACCTCTCCACCGAGTCAGTCGGAAGCTCCAGCTCACCCGCACACAGGCCATTCGAGACCATCTGCTCGTTCATGCGGTGTTTCCGTGCGTGCCAGAGCCTGCCTGTCATCCCACCGCTCGTGAGCAGTGGGTGCGCTGTGACATCGACAGGCTCATGAGATGCCTCCGTGGTGGGCTCGGCCGCTCCGGCTTTGTGAGCGAGGTGGAAGGGCGTCTCCGTGCTGACGAAGGGCACGTCGCTGAGCTGCTGCGGAGGAGCGCTGCAGATGATGTCTTCGACTATTTCAACAATCTTCTCCGAGACGTGGGCAAAACACTTTCAGCGATAGAGCTGGACGTGCTTGCTCTCCGATGGCTGATGAGCGACTTCGGCGACTTGCGCCTCGACGGGATCTGCGTCTACTCCTGGTTGAAGTTCCAACGGCGGAACGTGAGGCGGAGGTGGCGGAGGCATTCAAGGAGGCCACCAGGGCGAATCGGGCCTACCTTGCCGCAGAAGGTCGACGTCGACGTGCTGCGCTCGTGGACGAGGCGTGTGAGCTGTGGCGCCAGAGGCGCGCCGCCGAGCCCCCCCGGCTTTTGCGGGCTGCGGGCTCCCGGTTGGGACCCAAGAAGCGGGACTACCTTTCAGTGCGTAGGGTCGCCGACCCATCCGAACAGCTGATTGAGCAGTTCGCGAAGACAGGCTCCGAGGGCGGCATGGCTGCCACCGAGATTGATCATTGGGAGGCATGGCGCAGTGAGTGTCTCTCTTTCAGACCGCCGCTGCCGCCGCCAGATCCCGCGCGTAGGATTGCTGCGGCAGCTGGCTATTCTTTTGTCGCAAAGGACTCCGGAAAGCGAGCAAGCGACGAGCTGCTCCTTAGTGGGCTGTGCCACTCGAGCTGCGGTGGCCGATGTGCCGCCCAAGTCGAGGGGTCTGTAGGTGAGGTGTGGGTCTCGGCACCTCCACAGCGCGCGTTGAGGCCCCTCTCTTCAGTGAAGCTTTGTTCGACAGTTTTGTGCCCATTGAAGGCTCCCCCCGCCTCCCCATTCGCTGACGTCGCAGCAGCGGTGCGCCGATCCCGCGCAAGGGGGGTCAGGCCAGGTGGATTCGTCTGCTGGGCCCTGTGGGAAAGATATGGATGGGTGGGGCGATGGCCCGGCGGGGTGGGCGGGTGGGGCGGGGTGGGGGGCGGCGGGATGGGGGTGGGGGTGGGTGGGTGCGGGGGGGGCGGCGAGCGACCGGGGTCGCGGCTTCGAGGCGCGCGGGCGCCACGCAGGAGCGCTGCTGGCCCAGAACATCAGCGGATCTGTGTGCCAGAATGCTGGGGGACAGCATTTGACCAATTGCCGCGACCTGGCCGATGTTTCTGGGTAGTGCGTGGCACGGAATGCAGGATGCCGTTCGCAGAATGTTTCCCCCCTCGGCCGTTGCATTAGGGGGGCCGAGGTATCGGCTTGCGCTTTTTTTTTTTTTTTTTTTTTTTTTGGTGGATCGGGGTGCCAATCTGCGCTCCAGCTGTGGCGTCCTGATGGGCGACTCCTTTGCTGTTCGGTCTTCTGTTCATTGCTTCTCTCTCCTGCGGTCGAGGCCTGGCACCGCGGGCAGACCCAGTGGGCCCCCCTGCATTTTTTCGCGTGTGCGATGTCGTTGTTATCGCAGGAGTGGCAGGACCTGCCACTCACTAAATATGCTGGCGACTTAACGAAAAAGCTCGTATGATCACGTTCTTACGCGTTAGAGAGCCTGGTCGACCTCAGTGCTATATCCAACGCCGACCTAGATTTGCGAGCTAGAGCAGCGCGGGCATCGGCGACGCGGAGATCAGCAGGACACCTTCGTAGTTATATTCGGCCGAGGTGCGGGGCGGGCTCTCGAAGCGCTCCGCGCTGGTGAGCTTGCGATTCCAGGAAAGGCGTCTCAGGTCGCGGTCAGTCTTGAGGCTCGCTTGATTTCGATTTCGTCCCGATTTAGCTCCGGATGCCGAGCGCGAGTGGAGGCTTACGCGCGTATGATGGCATTCTCTGGACAGTTTCTTGTCTCTCTCTGGTGTGCCCTATCGTGCGCGCAGGTGCATGGTCCCCAGCAAAATCGATAACGCGGCCCTGTCAGGGATTGGGGCTTTCCTGCCTTCGCCAGCCGAGTATGCTAGACTTACTGCTGCAGTCGCACAATATGCCCGAAAAGCGACGAGGGGCGCAGCCTTTGTTTCTGTTCTGCATCCCACCCAGTATTAAAGTATTGGCGCGCCGTGCCGATTGAGCTTGAGGCTCGGATTCGTCGCATTAGGTGCTTCCAGGAGCTCCTGGGGCACCCCAATTCCCACGGGCAAGTTCTTGCTGCCCTCTTTGGCTGCCTACCCTATGCCCCCACTTTGTTCCCCTTCATGTGGACTTGATGTGCTAGCGAACCCCTGGGCCAAACGAGCTTGGTGGGATCTCGAGGCGATGCCTGTGATAGATGAGGGGGCTGCGCTGCTGGCTTCGATTGGGGGGGCCAATGCCAGCTCCTCCTATCAGACCCAGAGATAATCGAGGATTTCTTGATGGTCGATGTGCGACAGTTACGGAGTCATTTTCTGTCGGAACGAGCCCCCCTTCCTGGATGGGGTGCTCCTGCTGCCGCTGATGATCCGCCCCGTGTCTTTGCTCGGGGCGGTGTGTATCGATGTTGCTTTCCGAGCGCTGACGGGGCGGTGCGCGGGGCGTTCTTACCGGATAAGCGGGGAGTTCACACTCGCATCATCGCTCGACATGGGTGTCGTGAACTGGGGCGTCTTCTCTCAGTGGCTAACGGGTGTTGCGGGTGTCGTGCTGTATTCTCGAGCCGTGTGGCGTGTCAGGGACATTTTGAGCTTTCGCTCGCGAGGGGATTCAGCGAAGTTCCTGCTGTGCGTCATCTTTGCTCTGTCGTGCCTCCTGCTCTGCTTGACTGTCCTCTACGTGACTTCGTCGGTTTTGCTCGGCTGCGGGTGCATCTGCGCGCGCATCTCCCTGGGCCTCTCAGAGTGATTCGTTCGAGGCCTGGGCGCGGCCATGGGGGCCTCCCCCGACTGGGCGATCAACGCCTCGGCGGCCGTGGTCTGCGGCCGAGAGGACAAGCGGCGGAAGCTTGCCGAGCAGGCAACAAAAGGTGGAGATTTGCTAGAGAACCTCGTCATCGTGCTCACAAGGTTGCGCCTGTCCAGCGCGGCAGAACATCGAAACGTATGTGGAGTGGTGTTCGTCACCTACCTGGTCGCGGCCGAGCAGGTCGCGGTGGCGGTGGCGAAGCAGGCGGGGGTGCTCTACTGCCAGGAGATCCAGAAGGGGAAGGAGGCCGGCGTCGAGACGGAGTCGCTGGGGCCGCCGTTCGTCCACGTTTGGACGGCTCTCACCAAGTCTGTGGGCGCGGACCCGCAGGCGAACATCGGCGCGAAGCAGGCCCTGGAGAAGCATTGGGGCGAGGTGGTGCTGAAGGTGCAGGTGGTCGAGCTGGCCGATCAGGTGCGTCTCTGTCGTGTGCGCACGACGCGCAAGCAGGGGGCGAGGGGGGGGGAGCTGCGCCGGCCTTTCGGCGTGGACCATCGTTGCGGCGAGCCGGAGTCGGCGCTGCTCTCGTACTGAAGCAAAGTGGGGCAGAGTAAGCACGGGCCAGCGCCCCGTGGTACCGTGGAGAGGGGCGCGTCGAAGATGCTGGTGCAGCCCACGGCGTGCGTGCAGTTTTGAATAGCATGGCGTCATCAAGTGCCAGTCGAGCGGGCGCTGGTCTGAGTGGCCCGAGCACGGTGTCGAGTGCCAGTCGAGTGGGGACTGGACTGAGAGATGCTGCTCCAGCGTCGTCGAGTGCCAGGCCCGCTCTTGCTCCCGCGGTGGCCAGTGCGCCTAGAGCGAGGTGCGTAGTTGCGCCAGCCGTTTTCAAGACTTCAGCCCGTTTCAGGGCCCTAGTTGAGCGCAGCGAGTTTTTCCCCCTCCTTCCCTCGCCCCCGAGCTCTGCGACTGCTGGTGCTTGCCCTCCCCCTGATCCCGCTCCTCAGGACTTCTCATTATCCGAGTTTTTGTTGTTTGTTTTTTCCCCCCCCTTTTTCCTTTTTCTTTTTCCCCAGGGGTGTCTCAGGAGCCGAACGGATTCTTTTTGTGCCCGAGGTCCGAAAGCAGCATCTAAACAACAACGTCCCAGGTCGAATGCCAGCGGAGATTAACTGCGAGAGAATGGCGGTGCCATCACCCCCCTCACTGGCTCTTCCTAGTTTCAGGGCGGGTCGAGGCCCGAGTGCAGCGCCAACCGCTGTGGGGAGCTGCAGCATTGATGCCACTCAGGTGCTATTTATTGTTCCCAAATCAAATTTTATGCAAGTAGGCACGTGTGAAAGCACCCCAGAGTTGCCTTGCCTTGCCTTGTCTCCTCCTCCTCTTCCTCCTCCTCCTCCTCCTCCTCCCCTCCTCGTCCTCCTCCTCCTCCTCTTCCTCCTCCTACTCTTCCGTGCCGACGGTTCCAGCACAGTCGGTGCAGACAGCGAGGGGCGGTAGATCTGCTTGCGTCAGCACGTCGATTGCGCAGTCTTCGACGTCTCTTCGCCTGCTGTCGATGAGAAGCCGCAGTCAGAAGGAGGACGAGGAGGAGGAGGATGAAGAGGAGGAGGAGGATGAAGAGGAGGAGGAGGAGGAGGAGGAGGAGGAGGAGGGGGAGGAGGAGGAGGAGGAGACCTTTCGTTCCACCTCTGTCCTTCGGACAAAAGGAGGAGGAGGACGAGGAAGAGGAGGAGGAGGATGATGATGATGAGGAGGAGGAGGAAGAGGAGGAGGAGGAGGAGGAGGAGGAGGAGGAAGAGGAAGGGGAGACCGTTCGTTCCATCTTTGTCCTTCGGAGGCTTCGCTCTGGGCCGACCCGTCCTCCCCGGGCAGGCAAGACGCTCGGGCAGTCCGCAGAGGAGGAGGTGGAGAAGAAGCAGTCCGGGCAGCCCCAGGCTTTGGGCCCGGCTCCCTCCCTTTTCCTCTTCCTCCACCTTCCTCCTTCCCTCCTTTCTCCTTCCTCCTTCCCCTTCCTCCTGCTCCTCCCTGTTCCTCCTCCTCTTTCTGCTGCTCTTCCTCCTCTTCCTCCTGCGTCTCCTCCTCCTCCTCCTCCTGCACCTCCTGCACTTCCTCTTCCTCCTCCTCCTCCTCCTCCTCCACCCCTTTTCCTTGTGATTAACTCCTCCCTGTGGCACTCCGAGGCCAGTCGGAAGGGTGGGCCAGGCGTTTCGCTCGAGACTTCTGTATCACTGATGAGCCTGAAGCTGAAAGACTGACAACAGTTTCACAGATGGAGGTTGGGTCGCTTCCAACATGTGGCTTTCGCCTCAGCGCCGCGCACATTCGTTTCAAACATTTGCAAGAGTTTCACGGATTGAGGACAGGCCGTTTTCAACATGTGGTTCTCGCGTAGGCGCCGCGCACATTCGTTTCAAGGAATTGCAAGGGTTTCACGGAGTCTCACGGTAAACATTCCAGAAGTAGTGTTTTGGAGCGATTTGGGATTGTCTGGGCGCAACAGTTACGTGTATTCGCAATGTGGAAGCCCCAGGAACGGTGTTCCGACACGATTCTGGATCGTTACGACGTAGCAGTCAGGTGGATGCGTGGCGCTGAAGTTCTGGCACGCGTCAAGATTTTCATTGGATTGTCCCCCAACGGCGCACTTTCTTCAGTGGCAATGAACCCTTCAGCGGCCTCTGATGAGGGAGCCTGGAGGAAGGGTGTATTCCAACATCGATGACGAGTTTTAGCCTCCTCCTCGGCCTCCTCCCTCCTCCTCCTCGTCCTCCTCCTCCTCGTCCTTCTCCTTTTTCCCTCTCCTCTCTCCTCCTCCCTCCTCCCTTCTCCTCCTCCATCCTCCGTCTTCCTCCTCCTGAACCTCCCCCGCCGCCTTCCGCCACCGCTTGGCCCACTTGAGCTGCCCGGACCCGTGGGCTCGACGACCTGCGGGCGGGGCGGGGTGCGCTCTGTCCGAAACCGCCTGCTTCTTCTTCTCGGGTCTTCCAAGGTCGCTCTTCTCGCCGCGCGAGGCGCGAAGCGCGGCCACTCTCGCGCTCTCGTACCGCCCCCCCCCCCCCCCTCTGGAGAAGGAGCGCTCTCCGGCCCAGACCGCGAGGCAGGCAGCGCGACTTCCTTCGTGCCCATGCTGACCTGGTCCACCAGGTGTGGTGATCTAGGCCTCCCAGATGGGGTCGGAGTGGAGGGGTCGGAGGGTTCTCGCCGCATCGCCAATGCATCGGCGATGCGGCGTGATGCGGAGCCCGATTTGCTTCACGTCGACCTCGCCGATTCATCGCCGACGTCGACGATGCACCGCTGGTGCATCGCCGATAGATCGCCGATACATCGCCGTGGTATCGGCGATGCGGCGCGATCCTCCGACCCCATCTACTCCGACCCCATCTAGGAGGCCTCTAGGTGAGGACGATATGGTGGGGAGGAAAAAGTCGATCAAGGCTGGACACCGATCGAACGGGAATACGTCTTCCATAGAGCATCGGAGGGTGGAGGAGGTGCCAAAGCAGCAGGGACTGCTATACACTATTTTAGATTTCAGAGTAGGTGCAGGAGGATCAAGAGGAGGGAGGGACAGTCAATCCCTTCTCTTCCTCCTGCTCCTCCTCTTGCTCCTCCCCGTCCTCAGCTCCGCTTCCTCTTCCCCTCGTTCTCCACCATGGGAAGGCGAGGGACGGAGGGGACGGATGTGGCGGAGGGAGGGAGGGATGAGGGGGACGGAGAGGAGGTGGAGGACCAGCGGCGTCGGATCTCCACGGCCCGTGCACCAGGACGTAGATGGCCATCGCCTGTCCGAAAGAGGAGGGTGGGATGCTCTGCACCAGAACTTGTCAGTGAACGCCGACGTTGTCCCGCCCCCATCTAGCTTCCCCCCCCGGAGGCTGCGCCGGAGCCGGCGGCGCCCGCCGTCTCCGCAGAGGAGGCCGCAAACATCTTCGACATGCTGTCCGCGGAGACCGAGGCGCCCTTCTGTTGCTCGGGGAGGGCGGGGGAGGAGGAGGACCCAGACCTCCTCGCGTCCCGAACAAAAACACGCCCGGAGGTTTTCGGCGGTTTTGACAAAATCACGACCTCGGGGGTCTGGGGAGGATAGCGGAAGGGCTGATTGGCAAATACCATCGGCGTGCCTCTCCGCGGAGACCGAAGCGCCCGTCTGCTGCCTTGGGGGCAGAAGAGGAGGAGGAGGAGGAGGAGGAGGAGGAGGAGGAGGAGGAGGAGGAGGAGGAGGAGGAGGAGGAGGATGGAAGGGTTGAAAGGGCAAATGCCATCAGCATGCCTCTCCTCGGACACCTAGACGCACTGCTGCTGGGGATAGGAGCAGGGCGAAGGAGCGGAAGGCCAAATCTGATCGGCATGCTGTCCGCGGAGACCGAGCTGGATGGTGTTAGAAAGTGTGTGACGTGACTCTGACTACCCTGAGGTGATCCCTTCGTCCTCCCTCCCTCGCGCTTCGTCGTCGTCGTCGTCGTCGTCGTCGTCGTCGTCGCCGTCTCCGTTGTCGCCCTCGTTTCTGCCACACCGAATGGCGTTTCACTGCTCCACCGCTTCACTGCGTGGTGCCCCCTGGGCCTCTCCGCGCATGCCGCGCACTGATGCAGCCGCGCCCTGGGACGGCTGCTCCGCCGCCACTCCGCTGCACCCCGAGATGGCACCGACGACCCGCGAATCTCGCGCGATCCTCATGCGTTACACGCGAGTTGTTACAGGATGTCCGAATCCCAATCTACTTTAGGCGCCTTCCGACTTCAAGGGTCGAGTGGTTGTCCCTCTTCCCTCCTCTTCGGGAGGCGGCGGAAGCCCAGTCTTTTTCCAACGCCTTCCTGCTTCGTGCTTCTACCCACACTTCTTCCGACTGACGGGTAATAGATGGTGAGACGGGCCAACCGCAGACCAACCAAATTTAGACAAGCCTGTTTCCCGACCCTGACCCTCGCTCCCTCCCTGGCTCCCTTTCTCGCTCCGTTCACCTCCGCCGCCCTCCCTCGCCGCCGCCCTCGCCGCCGCCGACATGGGGCCCGCCGCTTCCTGGCGCGGCCGTAAGGTTCTTCCCCTTGTCGATTGCGAGACAAGCCAAGGTCAGAGGCGGTAGGACGCGTTAATGGCACATCAGGGTGATGGGTGCCAGACTGTCTTGCATTGTCCTTGGGTGCGTGGCTGAAGTGTGGTCCCGCGGTGCGGGTTCGTGCTATTTCTCTAGTTGCTGGCTCCGCTCCGCCACGCGACCCACCCGCGTCCGCCCCCCGACCTACCCCCGCCCCGCACTGCGACCCACTCGCGACCCAAACGTGACCCGCCCAGCGACCAACCCACGACCCATTCGCATTGGTTTTGACCAAAGTTCGTCGCTTGCGGTGGGCTCGTATTGCAATGTGTTTCAGCAAGGTGCGGCGGGCTTTCCACATCTGCCGACGACCCCCTGGCCCCCTCACACTTATCCGCAACTGCGTGGGCTATTGTATGTGTCTCAAGCTTTTGCGACTCCAGGTCGAGTTCCAGGAATGAGCTGCATGCATCAATAGGGAAGCAGGCGCATGCCGCATATCACTTGTCAGACACGTTTCGGATGTGTTGCAAACACATTTGCGACCCATCCGACAGGCATCCGCTTGTGCACGCTGGGTCTTGGCTCTCCAGCAGCTCTGCGCCCGACGCCCACCTCGGGCGGTCTACGGTCTAGAAGAAGGATGGACCATGAAGAGTGAAGAGGGAAAGGACGGAAGGAGGGAGAGAGGAAGGGGGGAGAATGAGGAGGAAAAGGCTCATCAGGAGGAGGAGGAACATCATAAGGAGGAGAAGGAGGAGGAGGATTAGGAATAGAAGGGTGAAGTGGAAGAGGATGAGAAGGAGTGGGACTTCTCCTCCTCGGCCACCCGCTCCCTCCTTCTTTCTCTTTGTTCGTCCTCCTATTCCTGCGTCTTGCGGCTTGAACGGGGCGGTGGAGAAGGACCAGGTTCGGCACAAACGAAATGGGTACAGAAAGAATTGGTACAATGCCCACCAGCAGTTCTTGTTCAGTTTTGAACAGGACTCGCTGTCCGCCGCCTCGGCTGTGTCCGTTTGAGACAGAAGGCCGCCCCAACAGCGGCCGCTGTTGGTTTGGGACAACATTTGTGGTTGTGCGTTGTACCCACTTTTGTCCGTACCCCTTTTCGGGCGTCCAAACAGGTGTAGGTGTAATTATGGGTGGGAGGGAGGGGAGAGAGGTCGGAGGAGTCGGGAGGGGTAGGAGGGAGGGAGGGGAGGGAGGGGTGGGAGGGGAGGGAGGGAGGGGAGGTGGGAGGGAGGGGAGGTGGGAGGGAGGGGAGGTGGGAGGGAGGGGTGGGAGGGGAGGGGGAAGGGGAGGGATGGAGGGAGGGAGGTCGGAGGAGGGGAGGGGACGGGAAGGGGTAAGGGAAAGGGGTCGCAGAAGGGGCGGTGCCTCGCCGGCATGCCCCATCCGTCGGCCCGGCGGCGCGCGGGCCTCGAGGCGCAGAAGATCCAGCAGGAGCAGGAGCGGCGGCCTCTCCAGCCAGGGAGGAGGAGGAGGGAGCAGAGGTGGGCTGAGGACGAGGGTGAGGATGAGGGTATTAATGATGATGATGAGGATGAGGATGCTGATGTTGATGATGATGCTTATGATGATGATGATGATGATGATGATGATGATGATGATGATGACGATGATGACGGTGGTGGTGATGCTGGTGGAGTTGGGAATGATGAGGATGATGAGGATGACGATGATTTTGATGATGATGCTGGTGGTGGTGGTAATGCTGATGAGGATGAGGATGATGGTGGTGATGATGATGGTGATGATAATGGTGGTTGTGATGTTAATGACGGTAGCGACGACGATGATGGTGGTTGTGATGATGATGACGAGGATGATGCCGATGATAATAGTGATAATGATCACGATGGTAATGCTGCTGCTGATGATGATGATGATGATGATGATGACGAAGATTAAGATGATGATGATGCTGATGATGATGATGATGATTATGATGATGATGATGGATGATGATGATGATGATGATGATGATGATGACGACGAAGATTAAGATGATGATGATGATGATGATGATGATGATGATGATGATGATGATGATGGATGATGATGATGATGATGATGATGATGATGACGAAGATTAAGATGATGATGCTGCTGCTGCTGATGATGATGATGATGATGATGATGATGATGATGATGATGATGATGATGATGATGATGATGATGATGATGATGATGATGCTGCTGCTGCTGCTGCTGCTGATGATGATGATGATGATGATGATGATGATGATGATGATGATGATGATGATGATGATGAGGCCTCTTGGGCGATCTTTCGGCGATCTTTGGGGACTCTTGGTCCGTCTCGGGCCGTCGGAAGGCCGAAAAGGCGCAAATGCCAGAATCCTTCAACAACCGAAGGAACATCAAGGATTTTGGCCTCGTCGGGCCTTCCTGGAGGCCCTCTTGGGGACCTCTTGGGCCGTCTTGGGCCAGCTTTGAGCCAACTTCGGCCATCTAGGTGGGTTCCTGGCACGTCTGACGCCGTCGGGAGCCGTCTTGGGGGCCTTTCTGGGCCGACTTGGGGCTGTCTTGGGGCGCTTCGGGGCCGTCTTGGAGGCCATCTTGGGCGTCTTGGAGGCCATGTTGGGAGTGTTGGAGGCCTCTTGGGCCGTCTTGGGGCCGTCTTGGAGGCGACTTGGGCCGTCATGGGGCCCTCTTGGGGGCCTCTTGGGCGATCTTGGGGGCCTCTTGGGCCGTCTGGTGCCGTCGGAATGCCGAGAAGAAGCAAATTCCAACATCCTTCAAAAACCTAGGGAAACTCAATGATTTTGGCCTCTTCGAGCCCTCCTGGCTCTTGGAGGCCTCTTGGGCCGTCTGGGAGGACTCTGGGGGGCCTCTTGGCCCGTCTTGGGCCGTCTTGGACTCTCTTGGGCCGTCTTGGAGGCCGTCTTGGACCATCTTGGGCGGACGTGGAGGCCATCTTGGACCATCTTGGAGGCCATCTTGGGCCAACGTGGCCATCTTGGAGGCCAATTTGAACCATCATGGAGAATTTTTTCCAGATTGAGCTCCTTGAGATCCTTTCCGGGTGGCCGGCGGGACGGGCCGAAGCCCCAGGGGGAGTTCTTTTGGAAAAAGAACCAACAACCAAAGCCACAGGATTCGGCACGCCAGGTACCCCTTTGATAAATCGACAGGGGGCGGCGGATCGAAGACGCCTGCGGCGAATCACCGCCGCCCCCTGCCTTTGTGGAAGCGCCTATGTGGCCGAACGTTGAGGCCAGACCTGTCAAGCTATCGGACCATGTGTTCCCCGAATCGGTTTGGAAAGCCTTCGGGGAACACTTGGGCATCTTGAAGGTCCTCTTGGAGGACGTCTTGGCCCTTTCGGGCCTTCTTGGAGGACGTCTTGGAGGTCTCTTGGGCCCTCTTGGGGCCGTCTTGGAGGCCACTTGGGCCGTCATGGGGCCCTCTTGGAGGCCTCTTGGGCGATCTTGGGTGCCTCTTGGGCCGTCTTGAGCAGTCGGAATGCCGAGAAGAAGCAAATTCCAAACTCCTTCGAAAACCGGAGGAAAATCAATGATTTTGGCCTCTTCGGGCCCTCCTGGAGGACCTCTTGGAGGCCTCTTGACTTTAAGGGTAGCTCTTTGGGAGATGTTATATAGAATCGGGAGTATAGCTCGCGCGCCGTTGCCTTTGGCTCAAGGCACGCGCGCCCTTTTTGCCCGGACACTGCTTGTGTTCGCTACGTGCTGGAAAGATCACTACATCGATCTTATCCTATTTTATCCGTCCATTCCTCTTACTGAACAACCTCAGTACGATACCGGACGCTATTTGCCATCCGATTCCCATGGGATCGGATGCTATTTGACTTACCATAGTCACTTTCGACTTGGTAGCGGAGCTGGCCGCACTCTCGTGTGGTCAGCTCTTGCTCTTCTTATCCTCACGCTACACGGCACGATCTTCGTGACCAACTACCACCCTGCGCCACCACTCCCAGTACATGTACGAGGATCTATCCAAGAGCAAGAAGCAACACGAGAGGTACGACGTCCAGACAACAACATTGGTACCATATACGCTTCATCACTGCGCTACTACCAACCGCTCGGCAACGAGCCAAAAGCGCAGTACTTGAAGCAGATGCGGGGAGACCCGCGAGATAAAGCGCCTCGAAGACTTGACAAAGCGCTACCCCAGCGCGGCAACGCGCCTAATAACCACCCATATCTTCACAGCCTTGGGCTGGTTATATTCGCCATAATATGGCTCGCGCTGGGGGCAGCAATCGGACACATGCGTCGTGGAGAGAACAGCACCGATGGGCAAACACATGGCCCATACTGGGACCCTCAAGGCAACGTACCTTTCCGCGAGTACGTTTATGAGGTCAACGCGTGGCTCAACGTCACAAGTGGACGTATGACGCGACAGGCCCAAGCGGCCGCCATACAACGCGGCCTAGGTGGCCTAGCGAGGACACTCGCCATGAGGGTGCCACCTGACATTATAAACTATGGTGCTGACATCGATGGGGTCCACACCGACCCAGTGACCTACATCATGTTCCTCCTAAGCATGAAGTTCGAGCGCCTGGAAGATGAGCGCCAGCTCACTTCCGGCACGCAACTCATCGACTTTCATGTGCCTCACGGAGAACGAATCGATGTCACCCTCACCCGATTCGAAATGGCCCGACTTGAGGCACAGTCGGTGGGATTTGACCTTCCCAACTTCCAACTACTAACTGCGATCCTATTCCGCGCCTTAGGCGTCGGCAATCAGCGAGCCATGCAACTCTGACAGCCACTCAATCACCAAATGCCCCGAACACAACAACAGTATGATGAGTTGCTGGAGAGGATGCGTTCGATAGGTCACCTATCAGAACGGTCTCCTGGTAATATAGGATCAGTGTTTGGAAGGGGAAGGGGATCTGGTAGTGGGAATTTCTGCACTACCCTAACCACTGAAGCCCAGCCTGGAAACGGGCCCTCAAGCATATGGGCTGACGATCCTGGAGAATCCACTGCTCTACTAGCAGGGGATCGACCACAAACAAGCTGGGCAGCCAGCCCTCCTTCCAGAGAGCCTCAACCACACCGTTCCCTATGGGGTGAATCAAACCCCCTAACCGACGGTGTATCCACCTACCTGGGAGACGACGATTTCGACTCCGGCACCGACACAGATACTGTATTATCAGACGGTGTTGAAGCTTTAGATTGGTCAGATATCATGAATATGGAAAGTGATAATCAGCGTGCTGAACGCTTGTTTTGGTTACTGCAACCGGCAAAACGGAGGTGGAGGAGGTTCGCACGAAAACCAGTGCGTCGTGTTAGGAGGAGGATACGGAGGAGCTTCAAAGGAAAAGGTAAAGGTAAACGGGGTCGTCGTAGGTTGAATGGACGAGGCATCACGGCCTTCCTCCAGAAGCTCTCAGATGATCAGTAGGATGAGATATTCTTCGGGGGAAAAGGCCGTGGTAGAGGCCGTAGAGATACCTCAGGCAAGGCAAAGGTAGGCGGGGGAACCCGCGAGGTAGAGACGGCCAGATTCTAAAGTGCCATGAGTGTGATAGTACCGACCATCTTGTGAGAGATTGTCCAGCGAAGGGAAATGGAAAGGGCAGATCAACCGAAGTCCATTTTGGCTCAAGTGAACCATTTATTGAATATCTGAGCCTCCAGGGTTTTGAGGCCATGGAACAGATATTTTACACTTGGGTTAGTTGCGTGGACAACGTCGACGATCTCGAGGCGTATGGCCATGGACTGTACGCGTATTACCTCGAGTACCTCCGCAGGTTCGTTGTCGGCAACAACGAGCTCACTCCCGTGGATCACGGAACGCTGGGAAACCAGCCTATATCTTTCTCCGACTGGATGTTTGGGAACCCAGGCGACATCATGGCCTACGAGAGCAGTGACGAGGACGTCACTGTAGAGGCCTCGCCTTCAGAGGTTGATCGCAACCTCCAACCTCCACCCGACCTCATGCCTGGAAACAGGCCTACCCATCCTCGAAACCACGCTGAACTAATAGAAATGGAGTCTCAAGCGTTCGTTGCGGGCGTACCAGGAGACCCATTTATACCTCCTGGTTCGCTTGCTCCAGGCGAGTACGGACCACGCACCCTACTGCAAACCCTCATGAGGATGCACGAGATATTAACCATAGCATATCCCGAGAGTCAAGAAAGCATCGAAGCTGGTAACAGGATGCTGCAGGACACTGATGCCTGCGACGACTCGGAGTTAGCGCTGGCAGCCTTGACTCTTATTGACAGCGTGCACCCTGAGGACGTGCAGAGGCATGTGTGGTACTCCAGAGGGAGATGGCGCGAGGCCCTTGAAAGGGCCATCGCCATGCGCGGCCAGGCTCTTCCTCCGCCAGGATGGGGTCTCCAGGCGGCAGGACTATGGCCCAATCGTACGGCCATGCGTAATATTGCTGGGCAGCCTGTGCTCGGCAACGAG